GTGTGTGTGTGTGTGTGTGTGTGTGCGTGCGCATGCATACATGAAGCCACACATACACACATGCACACACTCGCAGGCATACAAACACACACACACATACATACACATAGAGGTACATATATGTATTCCTCTCTTCCCCTTCTGTTTGTTACTGAAATACCCTATCCGCCTCCACACCCCCCCCCCTGTTTTTGTCAACTGTTTTCTTCACGATAAAGCTGTTGCCGTGGAGTACATCCAGCAAGTAGCCGCCGCTGCCCCTGAGACACCTTTCTACTACTACTGTATCAACTTTATGTCGGGCATCTATTGTAAGTTCTAGATCTATATTAATAATATATAATATTACTACTGCATCAATTTTATGTCCGGCATCCATTGTAAGTTTTATTTGCCTCTGAATCAACTTTATGTCGGGCATCTATTGTTAGTTCCGTATTAATATTACCACTGCATCAACTTTATGTCGGGCTATGTAAGTTCTATGATTACTGCATTAATTCAACTTCGGGCATTTATTTTATGTTCCATTATTATGGCATCACTGATATGTCGAGCGTCCATTTTAAGTTCTGTTACTATTGCATCATGTCGGATATCTATTTATTAGTTGTATTACTACTGTGTCCACATTATGTCGGGCATCTCTTGTAAGTTCTATTATTACTGTACCAATTTTTTTATTGGATTCGTAAACTTTATTACAACTACAACCATACTAAGTTTTGGAACATCTGTTGTAAGTAGTCACTTGGTTGTTGCTGTAACTGCTGCTGCTGTTGTTTTTGTTGTTGCTGTCGTTGTTGTTGTTGTTGTTGTTGTTGTTGTTGTTGTTGTTATTGTGTTCTTGTTATTATTATTGTTGTTGTTGCTGCTGTTGTTGTTGATTATTAGGTCAGGGCCTGATTTAAGGTTCAGTTATGAAGCCAAAGTCTTCCCCAGCTTATCTGGCTGACTTTCAGTGTTCATGTTTATCCTACCATCTGCAGGACCTTTTTATTCACACATCCACATGTACACCATAAGATCTGTAAGTCTATAATTTGGGAGTGAATCGACAACATTGATAAAGTGCGGATGAATTATTCAACAAAACAGACAACTATTAGACCACCAAATTGACACATCACCCCCGCAAGATGCTTGACAAAGCAACTAACAAACCAACCAACAAAGTGCAGCCTCTAAATCAGTCAGTCAACCAATCAATCAACTACCAAATAGTCAGATAATAGTATAAAATCAGTCAATATGCAAGTGAGTGGTTTCAGCTGGTGGGTGGTTGGCGAGTGCTTTCGTGGGGTTTGCTCCTTCTTTCCTATCAAACATCTGTCGTCCTTATCTCTCCTCCTTCTTGTATTTGTATATTACTATCTGACAACACCTCCAGTTTTTAGCTCTTATTTGACATAATTGTGGTTCACATGCCGTAAAATTATTACTAAAAGAAATCAAAGTCTCGACTTTTTTCTTCTTCGGCTCCCCAGTGAACACTGCCAAGATTCTAGAACTTGCCTCAGGGCGCATCCCCAATCTGCGCGGCGCCAAAATCTCTTCCCGGGAGCTCCCGTCCCTCCTAGACAGTTCCCGTGTGTGTGGTGGGAAGCTGCAGATCATGGTCGGCACGGACGAGGTTTGTTACTCCTTCTTGTTTTGTATCTTTTTTTAACACACACACACACACACACAAACACACACACACACACACACACACACACAG